GGGATCTAATTGAAAAAAATAATATATAGAGGGTTATTATTCTAATTATCCCTAAATATAAGGTAAATTTGCATGATTTTTCGAGTCATGTCGGGTCGAGTATTTTCATCCTAAATCCAAACCCGACCCGACATGACTCGAGTATATTTTCTAAAAAAACTGACCCGAACTCAATTTTATTTTTTTTAAAAATCCGACCTAATCGGATCAGGTAGGGTCGAAACCCGTCAGGCTCAATTCTCGTGCCCATCCCTAGGAGTGAGACGTTAGGCCTCTTAAACAAAGATCAGTGATTAAAGTCTTAATATCGTGAATGGAGAAAATTATGTTAGAAGAGTCGTCACATAATAAGCTTCTATAACATATGATTTAGATTAATTGATCAGTAAATCGAATATTGATATTTATAAAAAAAATGGAAATAAATAAAGAAGATAATGAAAAAAGAGTCACCATCCATGTGATTCAACTATATCTCTAAACAAAATAAGTCTTTAGAAAAGGACATAGCCACAATAATTTTCCCTTCTATAGGACCCCTTTGCAGTTTCAATGCTATGTTAAAAATTGGGTTTCTTCAAGTTAGACGATTTCGATTTGATCCGACTTTATAGAGACGATTTTTCTTGAAATCTAGGGGTTTGGGACTGGATAGGATATGTTATATAACTTCGGGGCATGGCGGAGTCGGGTTAAAGGTGAAAAATCACCAACCCCATCCAACCTGATTAATATATATATATATATATATATATAAAATACTTTAGAATTTTATTTTTATATTATTAAAAATATTATATTATTAAAAATATAATTTAATTATTAAAAATATATAAATATTATAAAATACATTATTTTAACCGTTTAAAATATAATAAATTATTATAAAATAAATTATTATAAAATAAATTATTTAATTATTTTAAAATATTAATATATTCAAATCAGGTTGGGTCAGTATCAGATTTTTAATCTAAAAATCGGGACGGATTATGGAGAGAAAAAATCTAAAATTCATTAGAGCATGTGGAGTCAATATAAAATATATATCTCCGAGTCATGATCATCGCGGCCAAAAAACTGGCCCACCTCGTCTCGTGTCCATCCCTATATGCATTAGGGTTCCAAGGAATAAAGTAAAAATTAAAAATATCGATTTAATTGATTTAATATCGATTTGTTTGATCAATTTATAAGTCAGTTAAATATCTAAATTTTGTACTAACAAAAATAATAATATTTAATCCAATTAGTTACACACCGTACAAATATCAATATATGAATTCGAATTTAAAATTATGAATAAAGAAAATAAAATTAAATAAATCATCTCAAAATAAACTTCAATAACATTTTATTCAAATTATTCTATTTATAAATCAAACACTTTTAGTTATATATATATAAGTGATATTTCAATTTTCACCGGCAAATTAGGCAGATGTTTCCTTCATTTATTATTATTATTATTATTATTATTATTATTATTATTATTATTATTAGATAACATAGGATTCAATAATTAAAACCTTTGCTGCGATTGCATTATTATTATTATTATTATTATTATTTTATTATTATTATTATTATTATTATTATTATTATTATTATTATTATTATTATTATTATTATTATTATTATTATTATTATTATTATTATTATTTCGAGTAATTTAAAAAAAGCCATTGCCATATACTAACTTGGTATCTACTTGTAACAAATAAAATTTAGGGTGGGTATCGTCCGTGAAATAAGTAACTAATCGAAGAAAACTTAGATTTCAGGGTGGACACGAAAAACTTCAGGATTGACACCATCGATAAAATAAGTAACTAATCGAAGAAAATTCAAATTTCAAAATATTCACGTGATCACCCTCACCAAGCTGTGGCTCCGCCATTTTAAAGATTGAAAGTTCCATGTTTTAATGTCACATACCAAATAAATGTTTATGAAATTTGATTCTTTTAAACCATTAGTTCTCTTGAATTTATTATTTTTATTATTTGATTAATCTATGGTAGTTAAAGGTTTATATCAGTTTAAAGATGACTCTTAACTATTTAACATTAAAAACTCATAACCCTGATATTCCTGATGCTCGAACCCAAAATTTTAAGGAATAACAACAATTCATTTACTACCGAAGTCGTTTGGTTCGTGCTCGAATTAATAATATTGTAATAATTTAAAACCTAGCAATGGGGATATGGGACAAGAAATCAAAGGTGAAGGATTGTTAAGAAAAACATGTGGAGATTGAAGAGTCGAAGTGAAATTATTGCAAAATATGGTCGTACCATGAGAAAACACAACAGGATCATGTCGATTACGACTCCATGGATGTCTCCTTGTCGGGGCATAGATTTCTAATGTAGATTTTGACAAAATTTTTTATGGAAAATATTTTCTTTTATAATTATTGATATTTAATTTAACGATATAAGTTCAAGTCGTCAAAATAACCCTTAATTTTTTTTGGAGCATTTTACCCCTAATGTTACATTTTAGGACAAAAAATCTTCTCTATAAATTGAAATCGTTAGTTAATGAACGACTAACGTTCTAAAATAGGTCTTTTTTTAACTTTAAATGAAATGTTGAGATCTAAAAGATTCTAAAAGAAAAAATAAGACCCAAAGTGATTATTATGTCAAATAAATAATATTATATTTTGATATTATTTGTAATTATAGTTTATTTATAAAGAATCAAATAATGATATGTTAACGAATAAATATTTTGAATTATATTTTATTTATTTATCCATCGTCATTTTAACATAATTTTGTCACAAGTCTAGTGAGAGAATATATATGTATAGGTTTTTTCTGAATAATTAATCAATCTTAATAATTGGTTTAAAACAAAAGAATAAAATAAACTCATAAAACTTTAAATAAAAATAAATAAGCTGTGTTTCTCCTGTAGTTATTTTCACCTTTTCTTCTTGCCACTTTTCATGTTAAACTTCATGAATTTAGCAGAAAGTGCAGTGAGGCACTCTTACCTTCAAGCTTCTTTGTCATTTTCACCACCCCTGACATGCCTCTCCTCGCGGCCGCCCGATGTTCCGGTCTACGGTTCATCATCTTGCGATCGAGAGGTCAGTATGCGTACGGCCATTGCGGAGTTTCCAGAGTAATTCACACGTTTTCGAAATTCTGATACATATGATACTTCCATTCAATTCAACTTGGTTTTATATAATAAAGTCATTTTGATATTCGAGGTTGATTTAATCATTTATGAGCTTGGGGGTATTTAGTTATTCCATTACTTAGTTGTTCTTTGGGTCATTTTACATTTCAGAGGCATTTCAATATAGATCCGGAATTTAAACCGATGATTCCAAGGTTCAAGTGTATCAAAATATGAGTTTTCAGGTCGTCTCCATTATCATACTCATCCATTGTGCTTAACACTTAGCGTATAATCGTCATTTTATTCAAATAATCGTCATGGTATTTTGTTTCTTTGATCATTGGAGGTTATTATAATTATTTCATAGCTCGAGGACATTTTGATAATTCTTTTTAATTCAAACATATGCACTATTTCTGATAACTCGTCAAGTATGTTTTTTTTGGGTTATATTTCACTATCCGGGGAAGTATTGGTCTTATACAACACAATGACATTTTCGTAATTTTATCCCATAGGGTTATTTTTGATAATTTCTTATCCAAATAATTCGATATTTAACCTTTAAAGTAATTTATCAAAACTTACAGATCTTGAAATCAATTCATTTATTATTGAATCACTGAACTTATAATTATTTCCGATTAATCTTCCAATTTCTCTTTGTCGAGCCGTCTGAGTCTTATATCGTGTTCTATTCTTAATCCAATTTACGTATGAGTCCAATGATAATTAAATACATCTAATGGACCAATCATTTTCATTCATACAATTACCATCTATCAATGAGTTCCAAAAAGCATACAAAATGTAGTAGAGTATTACCAAAATTTTCGTGCCATATCGATCGACCATTTAAACTCCATTCGATCTCCCTCGAACTTTAATTCAATGTCCAATAATTCATCGGATACAAAACAACTGAATTTACGTCAGAAACTAAACTTAATTGAGAAACTAATTTGAATCTGAAGATAAATCACTGAAAAACAACTTACTGATCCCGAATTTGGCAAAACAGACTTCGTACTTTGAACTCAATACGTCGAAAAACATAAAATATGACCTTTTCGAAAAAGTTGATTTTTTGGACAAAGTCAACGGTCAAAGTCAACGAGTCAAAGTCAATAGGTTGACTCAGACGATTTGACTCGGTCCGGGTTGACTCGGTCAGGTCAAACCGACCGATTCGGGGCGGTCCGGTCCGCCTGGACTGTTACAGAAGCTTCCTAGACTGGTAGAGGATCCCCACGCGCACTACCGGCACGTGCGATGGTGACAGGGGTTGTTTCGATCGGTCGATTACTCCCAGCTTCAACAATCACCAATATCGATCCAATTCAACATCAAAAATCAACTAAAACCAATTAAAAATAAGCAAAGGAGCGATCGGAGTTCATTACCAACGACGACCGGAGAAATACACAACGACAGGGAACACCGCTGACTGATTCCTGACCACGACTAAATGGGGAGCTCAATGGGAAGGGCGGTGAGACGAGCCTACGATGTAGACGATCGAAATCGACGAAAATCGGGGCGACGATCTAAGGTTTCAACGTAGCTTCCAAATGTTTGATCCCGATAAACGGCAGCCGATATGGGATGACGGTCGGGGTTTGATTGGGGGTGGGACACTGGTTTGATTGGTGGTAACGATGCACATTGACGACGGTCGGATGGTGGAGAATCTACGACAAGGGCCGACGAGGGGGGAAAAATTAGGGATTCATTTTCAATTTGGGGATAAATTTGGGTGGGGGGATTTGGGGTAACCTGATTTTTATTTAACACTTTACTAGAAAAAAATGGTACAATTCCAGGATGAGTCCTCGAATTCCTGAAATTTTCTAAAATTGTCTATAAGTTTCAAAAACTTATAGTTTGACCCATATTTTGGGTGTGACATTGCTTCCCCCAATACACCATTAACAACATTCTTGGATGAAAGACCGGCAAGTGAAGAGCTCATCGACCTGAAGATGCCCAAGAGAATGACTTATAAAGCATGTGAAATTTGAGCTTTAGAATATCCATGAGCTACGGAAAAGGAAGGAGTACCGATCAGAAGGTTAGTCCTCGCAAGAATTTTCAGATGATGAAAGAGATTCCGGGTCAACAAAGTTCGAGCAATTGAATCCATCTCCACATTCAGAGAAGAAAATGCAGCCGGTTTCGAGACAGCAGTCTCTCTGTGCCTTTCCAAACAGCTTCCTTGGAGGCATTGAGTGTGTACACCTACACAAAAAATTGGAAAATAGCCATATCGATTACAGGACTTAATGTGATAGCTATATCTTTGACATGCTACATGAAGCTCATTAATTTGGTAAACTATGAAACATATGGTTCGGACAGCTGATTCACATGTAGATTACAGACATTAAATGATCCTTGTAAATGAAGACACACATTCCATTTCATCAGCGAAGAGTTTATCGGGAGTAGATAGTCGGGGATTTCAATCACAAACAAATGACAGTAGAAATTAAAGGACATGCAACGATGAAAACGGCAAGCAATGAACCTTGAATATGCCGGCACTTTCACAAGTTGATATCTCGGGCGAGGACTAAGGCCGGGCAAAATTGAATTTAAAGATTCCTCTTGCTTGACATTTTTGGCGGACTCGGGTGACCAACTCGGCCAAAGAATGTTGCCATCGGAAAAGGATCTTTTGAAAAGTGACCTGAAAATTAAGCACTGGGAAGTGAAGAGATGAGCGGCGGTGAGAATCTCTTCCCAGTTGACAAAAGTGTAAGAAAAAACTACCTTCCATCATCATCCACTATATTGCTGATATGAACCCAACTGCCAAACTGCAGGTTTAACTGCCTGAGGCCGGAAATACCCGAGAAAGCTGCACAAAGAATTATATTCAAAAGAATAATTAATAAATGAATTCAAGAAACTTGCAAAAGAAATGTAAAACTAACTCCAAAGGACAACAAGGCCAGCATTTTATTCTAACTCGACAGCCATTGATTTTCACCCAAAAAAGTAACGCAGATAAAAGACTGAAACTTACACGTTAATTGCATTTTGTTTCTCTGCATCTATGTATGCATTGCTAAAATATCGTTGAGGAGTTCTAAAAAGTTATTGGGACTGGGTCGCTGCTCTCCACTGCCCCCTTCTTTGAGAAAATATCTGTATAAATATCACAATCACATAAAATACTCAGAAAGGTTGTTTGATTCTTTTTTATGTTCGTGTTCAAAATACATTAAGTCGAATAATGACTACTACTGACTCTTAAATCGAAAAGAGAAAAAAATCATGGAGCATAGAATGCACTTACAACAGATTAACATACCAAATTATCGGGAGCATTAACCTCTTTGAAAAGGGACAACCTAGTTCTATCAAAATTTGTCAACAATATGGTTCTTTTTATCAAACTTCAGAGAAACCTATAAATAACATAAATTTCCGAATTCAATGCTATTCAATGTTAATCATATATTTGGCATTGGCAGCTTCGAGGAAAAAGAAAAATCCAACTAAAAGATACAGAATTTAGAGAAGGTCAATCTATTCCAACTTTGCAAATCACATATGGTTACAAGTACGAATAAATCAAAGACGGAATCAGGATTTTAAGTTAGGGGTGCGAACTTGAACTTATAAAATTTTAGGGGGCAAAAACATATTTTCAATAGAAAATACATAAAAAAATCTAAAACATATGATAATTTTATATTTTTAGGGGGCCACCACCCCTACCCGTTCCCCCAGGTCCATCCTTACAAACACAGAAGTTGGATTACCTTGTTGTGAGCTGCAGAGCCACCATATTGATTCGCAAGTGTGTCGCCCATTCTCTCATAGGAAACTTATTAATTCATCAGCCAAAGGATCATTGAGGTCCATTTTTGGGGAAGTCTTAATCCCTAAAACATGAAACTGTGCAACATTTGTACGATCCAAACAGTATACGATTGTTACTGAGCACACCTCTTTGGAATGTGGGAGCCTTCACATAATGATTTCCATTAGCAACATTACTATAGGATAAAAATGCTCAAGTAATCATAAAGCCCATGTATTAATCTAATGCAAGAATCTAAATATCTAATACATTGAAAACATGAAAGATCATTCAACAAAACCATCTAAGAAAACATTGCACGTATGAAGCTTAAAGTTAATAAAGCATGATAAACTTACTCAGTGAAAGGCCATGCCATACACTCCTCAGGTCTCAACCCGACAATGAAAGAAACTTGTTAGCGTTAATGCATATCTAGCCACTTTACCCAAATGTTGCAAAACATTTGGCGATTTGCTGGAAGGAAACACATGGAGTTTTCTACTCGTTAGGAATCAAACTCTAAAATGAATAAAACAAAGAACAAAGAGGAGGGGATTGACTGGGGGAGAAAGCAAAACAGGCAAGAGTTAAGGCTAAAATAACAAGCTTAGAACATATACCTCCGAGAATGTTTGTGTAGATCCTGGTGAAGGAATCTCAAACGGTTCTCTTCTGACAAATCTTTATTAATAAAATCAATCGCATCCGCAAACTCTTGACGGAGAATTGACTCTCGAGGCTTCTTCTCTTGTGTCTGCTCATCACACAAAAGCAATTGCGTTCAGAATCTGATTAGCAAATCAGCCATGTAATGAACCTACATCAACAAACTCCTCAACTAAAGTGCCTCTCCTTGATCCAATAGAAATGGCACGAAATGAAGATTTTCTACCACACGTAATATCTTAATGAGATATACCAGGTTCAGAAGTAATACAAAGATGGAATGATTCCAAAGAGAATGATGAAGCCATACAGCAGAACAACCATCTTACCTTGATCAAAATGAAGTCTGGTTGCTTCATAATTGTGGTCCTTCTTGGAGACTAGGAAAAAAGAAAAGAAAGGATAAGTCATTCAATTTTCGGAACATAAAAACATTCAAAGCAACACCTAAAGTACTCTCATAGATTACAAGTACATACGTATGCTATCTTGTTTTAGATTCAACCGTGAGGTTTCTTGAGACCAAAAGAGTGGGATTGAGCCTTGGTTATGGACGATGGAAGTTATCTGTGTGGGAAACCCATCAGGGACCTCCTCAAAAACTATCTGCTCTGTCTCAACATCATTAGATACTCTACCTTTCTCATTTACTCCTCGTTTCAAATACCTAAATGCAAAATCAGATGCAAATGATGACGAGTTTAAGCCCTTAACCTAAGCTTAATTCCATCTTATAATGAACTTCAATAAAAATAAACTAGGCCTTTTAGCACGAATGGGGGACAACATTCTTACCTGGTACCTGCATAGTAACGGGACATTCTTGCTATAAGCGTAAGTTTTGAAATCCCGTCCAGATACAGAAAGTGAGGCCTACATTCACAGCCCAGTGTCAACCTATGAAACTTATAAAGACTTAATAACCATCCGTCTATTCAGGACAACAGAACTGAACAAGAAAACTAGCCAAGCATACATCCTTAACCTGCTTAAAGAAGCCATACAACCTGCTTAAAGAAGCCATACACCAATGAAACTGTCCATAGAGTATTCTGGAGGTGATTGCGTATTCCTCAGGTCAGGAACTCATTACAAACAAACATGGCCCCGTAAAGAACTTGGCCTTGTTCATTATTACACAAGTTCTTTTGAAGACTACGCATAACATGGAATGAATAGCTGAAGAAGAAGTCCTTTGTAAGATCCACTGTGCCTACGAGCTTCTTGTACCTAAACAAAAATGAAACAAAGAATATCAAATTACAAACCATTTGTGAAAAGTGCACATGAGAGAAAAGCACTTAAGTTTGAAACAAATAAAAAGGAGACTCTACTAAATGACAAGAATTTTCTACTTTTCCCACAACAGAACATAATCTAAACATCTTTCTTCAAAACATTAATGAATTTATAGCAGTAGACAAAGATCTTAGCACACAGAACAGAAGAAGACCTGTTCTCATTCCTAATACCCGAAATGCTTGGGTTAACAGTTGAATTTGAGAGAGTAATCATCTCAGTTTTCGAAACTGCGTATACATTGTGACCGCAAATTGCACCAATCTGTCTTCGTTTTGTAATAAGCAGCATGTAGTAAGGCCCCAAAAACTTGTACATGAAACAAATAGGCACCGGATAAGAATTCACATAACAATAATAGTCCCCTCCCCTAAAGTCATTACACAGTTCAACATCCATACCAACAATGCCATAACAACCCGTAACAAACTTCAGTCCACCAGTGGATTTATTTCCTTCGAGTATTCGTCTCAACAACTCAGAGCATTCGAACTCCGTATAAGTGGTAGAATCCTGGAAAATGTTCAGCTTGAAAGGATCGAGCCGGTCAATCTTTAAAACTCTCCAATAAGTTCTACTCTTATTCCTTCCAATCATATAAAATTTCTGGACACGGACATCAGTATTACAATGCAAATAATCAAAACAGGAATCATAGCCACTTAATTTAATAATTCAAAGCTAAAACCAATGCCATTTTAACTGAAATTAAACATCTAAGTTGAATTACGAGCATAAAAATTAAGCATATAAAAAATGAATCAAAGCGCACAAAAACAAAATTAATACAATGAAAGACAAAAATAAGAAGAAATGCCGATCGAGTTTCGTAGAGTCTGAATTTATGCATACAGGTAGAAGTCTGAGATTGCAAGAGCTTCCATTATTGTTAATATTATCATAATTTTCTGCTGCGGGAGATTCCATGATAAGCTTCCTTTTTTCTCCGAGTTTCAAATTCTAGCTTCAGATCTCCTCCCCGAGCCTTAAGCTCAGGGAGTTTAACAGAAGAACATGCACGAAGGCGAAAACCGTTCCTAATATAGATTTTTAGTTTCCACTGAGAGAAAAATTCCTCTCAACTTAATCCGTAAAATACCTCACTATTGCCAAACGTTGATCCGTGGAGTTTGGCTGCTTCAAATACAACAGCAAAGGAAACGCCGGTAAATTCCTAAAAAAAAAAACGTCGAAATTTTACCTCCCCGGCTCCGTATACTTTCTCATTAACAACTCGAACAAAACAAACACACACAAACGCCGGTAAATTTCTCCAAGAAAAAAACCGTCGAAATTGGACGATCTTCTTGAATCACCAATCTTTTGCAAATGAGAATGGAAAAAGAATAGCTTATCGCAGATTCCTCCAGAAAATTAATCAGATAAGCAGCAAAGGCTAATATTAGTGATGGAATTACGTGTTTGGATTGAAGATACGAAAATATTATAATTTATCATAATCTTTTTATGTTATTCTTCTTCAGATCCAAATTTGTTATACAAACTCAACGCCACACACGTTTGCCTTAGTTGACCGTACATCCACGTACATTTAAATATTATAATTTAAATGTGCATAATATTAAAATTAACCCTTAATATTTATTAAAATAATCATTTTTGTCCCGTATTCTATAATCTAGAGCATTTTAATCTTTAATGTTTCATTTTAATCTTTAATGTTTCATTTTAAGGTAAAAAGATCCTAACATTTGACAAAATAATCAATTTATCCCTTTTTTTTCAGTAACATTTTAGCTCTCAGTAATTCATTTTAGGCTTAAAAAGGATCCTATTTGTTAGCGTTAATCGAGTGTTAACTAATAGTTTTCATCTATAGAATAAGTTTTTACCCTAAAGTGAAAAGTTAGAGGCTAAAAAGCTCCAAAAAAAGAATAAGGGTCAAAATAACTATTTTGATAAACATTGAGGGCCATTTTTGTATTATGTCATTTAAATATTACACTTCTTCATTTATTATTGGCTTAATGCCCAAATAA